TACTCAGCCTCTACACTGCTTCTTGCTACCACTGTCTGCTTCTTATTCTTCCATGTCACTAAGTTCCCACCAAGAAAAGTGCAATACCCTATAATGGACCTTCTGTCAGATATGGACCCAACTCAATCAGCATCCATGTATCCCTCTATCTCAAGACTTTTATCCACTCTTATATAACAAACCACGACCTGGGGCACCCTTCAAATACTTCACAATCCTTAGGATTGTCTCCTAGTGTGGGATTCGAGAGTTCTGCATAAACTAACTCGCCACATTGACCGCAACTGAGATATCAGGTCGAGTGATGGTTAGGTAATTAAGCTTACCCACCAACCTTCTGTACCTTCCCGGATCCTCAAACTCCTCACTTATATCACTACCCAATTTAACATTCAATTCTATAGGTGTTTCAGCTGGTCTGGCACCCAACAACCATGTTTCTTCTAGCAGATCAAGAGCATATTTTCTCTGGCACAGATTAATACCATTCTTGGACCTCACAACCTCTATCCCTAAGAAGTATCTTAATTTGCCAAGATCCTTTGTCTAGAAGTGATCATGCAAGTAAATCTTCAACCTGTCAATCCCTGGTCTATCATTGCCTGTGATAATAATGTCATCTACATATACCACCAAGAGAATATTCCTAGCATTTGATTGATAGTTGAATATGGAAATGGTCAACCCGACACTGTTTCGTTCCAAACTTCTTCACCACTTCACTAAATCTCCCAAACCATGCATGTGGAGATTGTCAAGTCCATAAATAGCATTTTAAGTCTACATACCTTCTCACCCTCCCCTTGAGCAACAAACCTTGGTGGTTGCTCCATGTACACCTCCTCAAGAAGATCACCATTTAAAAATGCATTCTTGATGTCAAGCTGAAACAAGGGCCAATCAAACATAGCAGCAAGAGAAATCAGAACATGAACTGACCCAATTTTGGCAACTGGAGAAAATGTTTCTGTGTAATCAATATCATACTACTGTGAATAACCTTTGGTAACTAACTAAGCTTTCAACCGTTCAACACTCCCATCAGGTAAGTATTTAACCGTGTACACCCACTTATAGCCGACAACATTCTTACCAGGCGGAAGAGCGATGAGGTCCCACGTATGAGTACGAGTCAAGGCCGAGAGTTCTTCTTCCATTGCTTGGCACCACCTTGGAGAAGTGAGGGCTTCCTGGACATCATTGGGAACAGAGACAGAGGATAACATAGAAACAAACTGTCGATGGGAAGCCGAAAGGTGAGGTACAGAAACATAATTGGAAATGGGGTGAAGAGTGCAATTGCGTTTACTTTTCCGCAAAGCAATAGGAAGATCAATGTTAGAACTTGGGGTTGGGGTTGGGGTAGGAACAACTACTGGATCTGTCGACGGTGACGAAGCTGGGGGAGGAGCCAATGCTTGACGATGTGTATACACTTGTCGGATAGGTGGTCCTCTCTCAGGTAGCTGCACTGGAGGCAAAGACTGGGTCACAATTAGAACAAGAGGAACGGAATCCTCAACAAGAACTGGAAGAGGGGGTGATGGTAATGAAGGAGAAGAAGCATCCGACCCGAAGAAAAAAATAATAGACTTAAAAAATGTAACATTAGAACACACAAAAGAACACTGAAAACAAGGATTATAACACTTATACCCTTTTTGAGTCTTAGAATAGCCAAGAAAGAAACACTTAGTGGATCTAGCATCTAACCTGTCCATTCTATGCTCAAGATTATAAACAAAACACACACATCCAAAAGCTCTGGGAGTAAGGGGAAAAGGAGACAACGTGGGAAACAGAATAGAGAAAGGGGACTGACCTTCAAGGATAGACATGGCCATGCAATTAATAAGAAAACAGGATGTAAGTACAACATCACTCCAAAAGGGTTTGGGACATTCATCTGATGTAAGAGGGACCGAGTAGTTTTCAAAAGGTGATGGTTCTTTCTTTTAACCACCCCATTTTGTTGAGGGGTGTAGGTACACGAGGTTTGATGGATAATGCCATGTTGTTCCAAATATTCTTGAAATGGTGTGGAAAAATACTCGCGGCCATTATCAGAATGAAGAATTTTAATATGTACACCAAATTGATTGTGAATTTCAACATAAAATTTTTAGAAGATTGAAAGTAATTCACTCTTTTCTTTCATAAGGTAAAGCCATGTCATCCTTGAATAATCATCAACAAAAATTACAAAGTACTTGTAACCATTATAAGACAATACTCTGTTTGGACCCCAGATGTCCGAATGGACTAAAGAAAAAGGACTCGATGTATGACTATCAACTCTAGGACTAAAGGAAACACGATGATGTTTCCCAAACTGACACGACTCACAATTTAAATTAGAAAGACGACTCAACAACAGAACAAGCAACTAAAAAGCTCTAAGAAACGGATGACCAAGTCTGCACTGCCACTGATGAGGGGAGAGATGACTGAAGAGTTGTTGCCGAACCACCTCCATCACGATAATATAGTCCACCAGCTTCATGCCCTCCACCAATCTTTATCCCCGTCTTGAGATCTTGAAACACATAAGAGGAAGGGTAAAAAGTTATTGAGCTATTAAGAGACTTAGTCAATTTACAAACAGACATCAGGTTAAAGGGAAACTTGGGAACATATAAAATTGAGAAGAGGGATAATGAGTCTGTGTCAACATTACCAACATCACATAAGGCTGATGTAGAGCCATTGGCAAGAGTAACAGATTGGGAAGTGGAGGATGGAGAAATGGATGAAAACATACATGGAGTTCCAATCATGTGATCGAAAGTTCTAGAATCTATAATCCAACGGGAAAGTGTGAATGCCAGACAAGTTGTACCTGTGTGTGCAAGGGTAGTCGTGTTCTGTTAAGATGTACCATGAATGAACCGCTCATACTCATCCCGTGAAACACTCACCATCTCCTTTCTGGAAGCATCTATAGATGTAGTGGGGATCTGATCAGTAACTTGAGAGTCTTGTCTTGAGCTACCACCATTTACAACTGTATGATTTGCCCAGGTTGAAGGTGGGTCATGTAGATCATAGTGAAAGTTGATATTATGTCCTTCCATACCACAATGAGTACACCTTTTCTGAGTATTACCACATCCCCTATCACGGGCTCCCCCTGAGTCTCATCCTCCAACACGATCGCCACCACGATTATACATGCCACCACCACCATGACCATACATGGGTCCACCACCACTACCACGGCCATGCTGACCTCCTCTACCACCACGACCTCCCCCTCTCGTAACTGCAAATGCAGACCTATTTGACATAGTGGAAGTTTCTGTGGGTCCAACTAAAATCCTCCAAAGACGAGCAAACACTTCCTCAAAAGAGGGAAGAGCAGATCCACCTAGTATCTGTGCCCTTACGGGTTCATACTCAGACTTCAACCCTACTAAAAATCTGGTCACATCCAACTGCTCTCTCTGTTGTTGCTGAATTTTGACATCAGGTGTAATAGGATGATAAACATTCAACTCATTTCGTAAATTTTTCATATCGGCATAATAGTTCTCAAGTCTCTAATTCACTTGTTGCAGATTGAAGTACTCTTGGTATAGTTGGTAAACCCTAGTAGTGTTATCTTGTCCATAATATAATTTCCTTGCATGATCCCAGACTTCCTTGGTTGTATCTAAAAACATGAAGTTCGCACTAATTTTGGACTCCATGTTGTTCCATATCTAAGTCATAATTTGAGCATCCTCCTGCTCCCATTCATCATATCCCGGAGAATCAATTAGGGGTTTATCTTCCCTCACATGTTTCACTTTCTTTTTGGCTTTCAGGAAAACTTCAACAGACTTAGCCCAAGGAACATAATTTTCACCATTCAATTTTATAAAGGTCATCTGCACATTCAGATAATCAAAAGGCACCATTACACTTGATTTGTATTCATTGTTGTCTCCCATGATTGCACAAGAAAACAATGGGAAGTTGTACCGCTAAATTGTTACTCCACTACCCTAATAAATCACCGCACTCCACATGAATGACTGAACACCACTAGGGTTCCTAGTACCAGGTGTCAACAACAATACTCACAACTATTCACCACTGTTTTAACAACAATATTCGCAACTGTTCACCACTTTTAGCAACAACACTATTGTTGCCTTCTACTGTCAACACTAGAAACCCTCACAACACACCTAATGAATAGGATATTTAGTTCTGCAACATATAAAAAAAAACTTGCTACATACCACAACTTAATTCGAAGATCATGTACCTGTCGAGTAGAGGGTACCAAGTCTGCATTGTCACCATCACAAAACCAACCCTCTTCGAATTGCCGAGTAGAGGGTTTTCTACCAACCACACAAAACCACAACAACTGCACTCATTGGAGGCAATGGAAACCCCCAAAAGGAGAAAATAACCAATCATTTTCTTTCTTTTTGGAAAACTCTCTAGGAATCAATGAGAATTCTGCAAAACTCTAGAAAGGAATGCGTAGAACAAAGAGAAAAGGAGACGACTGATCTGAACTGATTATCGTGGCTTTGATACCATGATAAAACTCAGACTAAATGTTGTATAAGTTCAGATCAGAAGAAAGAGGAGAAGAAGAGAGAAAAGAAGGAGAAGAAAAAGGAGAAAAGGTCACAACCGAACTAGAGAGAAAAATTTTAATCCCTCTAGTCGGCCATTCTCTTATTTATACTCTTCTAAGATATACAAGAATTACCATTGTGCCCTCACTTAAGTGAGAGTCACATCAGCTGAACAATACATATATAACTAAACATAAAAGGACTATACTACCCTTGTACAACTGACTCTAACAATAACATATCAAGTGTCTGCATTGATTTCCAGAAGCACATGCATATTTGTGGGAAAAAATATCAAATTGATATATAGCAGAAAAATCAATGGGGAATGTGTATGGACACCATATCAGAACCCAGTAGCTCCATCATTTACTTTAACACATAGAGACCTCAGTTAACTATTCACATAGTTAAAAAATGAAAGTACATTTTTTTTTTGAGAAAAGGGTAAGGCATTGTATCCATTTTGATTAGGAAAAATATACATGTATTCTCATATACAAAAAGTTACCATACAAAGTATAGTCAATCAACTTTAATCGCCCACATTACAAAAACAAATTGGCAACATCAAAGCATAATTGATGGGAAATGTTTCTTAACTGATCCTTAGCAGCTAACCAAGAGTCCAAGAGTGAATGGAACTTCTGTTCTTCAACTGAACAGTTTAGTTTTGGAAAATTCTCTGATTCCTCTCCTTCCAAATGCACCATGACACAGCAACAGGCCAGGAATAATACTCCAAAGCTTTCTTTTCCAATTGAGTCCTTTTAATTTCCAAGCATGCAGATGGTCTGTAAAATTACCTGGTGCACACCAGGATAGGTTAAACAGGTTGCAATAGTGGTAAATCTGTCTCACCACAGCACAGTGCAGAAATAAATGAAAGTACATAAAGAGTGCAGGCTCTATTTTCTTTTCAATTTTGATAGGTTGGAGTTGCATTGTTGCAGGGTAGCAAATATTTTCAAAGTTCACCTGTTCATCTGTGTAGTTAAAAGTAATTCATATCTACTAGCAATATGAGCTGGAAAAATCCCTTGTTTTAGGTAATGTTAAGTAACAAAAGGACAAACCCTCAGTTTTAACTCTCTTCTAGCAGTAAGAATTATTGATGTCTTCAACTGTAAATGGAATTTTTTTTAACACAAATGAGGCCTTTGAATGTCTCATTTAACCAATCTAAATTTGTCTGAAAGCCATCCGCATATGTTGAACTTCAACCAGTTTAAAAGGCAATTGGTGTCCAGTAACTATGTTATCTTTTAGTTTGACTGTTAATTTTGCACCAGTTTATACTTGTAGCCATGTGAATTATTACTATTAAAATGATACAACGCAGTTTGTCCTTATGGACAAAAATTTAAAAAAAAAAGGAAAAAAAAGTATGGTATTTTGAATAAGAAATTCAATATACAATCTATCAGTATGTGTTTACAAACATCCATCTTAGCTTAAGAACCACTGATTTATTAACATCTATGACACTGACAGTATGCTTGACTCCATCATTTGGACAGTAGTTTTCTCTACAAGGTTCAGTGACCAAGTAACCTTGGAAATCACAAAACATACCTCTTTGATTTTGAAGGCCAACATTCTTTCTGTTTTGCAGCAATGTAGGGTTACCAAACCTTCATTGATCCTGAAAACAGCACTAATGTGATAATGAAAGAGAAATATTTAAGAACTCTCTTGCAGCTATTTGTATTATGAAAATATCCAGCTTACCATTTCTTCATATTGATCAATGAAGCAGAGCTGTTGAACCCATCCATCAAGAGATTGTTCTAGTGGTTTCCCCATGGTCCATGGATCATAAAGAAACCTATCATCGAGGGCATCCAAATATCATGGAGAATATATATTGTGGTCACAATCATAACAACCCACTTTTGCATGTTCTAACCAGATTTGTAGTACTTCAGCAACCTCTTCTGTATAGCATGATGTGTCACCTGCAACAAACACTTGCATCTTATTCCTAATGTCGATCCAGCTGTACCCAGGCTCCTTATGGATGGCCATATCTTTCATCAACTCCCTTATTTCTGTGACCTCACACCACATCTGTCTGGATGCATAAATATTAGATAGAATGACGTATGTGGCAGAATCATGAGGCTCTAACCACAGACAATGGTTAGCAGCTCTAATACCAATGTCAAAGCTTTTATGAATTGCACAAGCAGCAAGTAGGGACTTCCATATCCCCGGTTCTAATGGAAATGGAGATTTGATGACAAAGGTTTCTGCTTCATTGAGATATCCTGCACGTCCAAGGATGTCAACCATACATGTACAATGTTCCAATGAGGGTGGAATACCATAGCTGTTAACCATTAGGTTGTAATAGTTTCTCCCCTCTTCAACCAAACCTGCATGGCTACAAGCAAATAGAACTCCAATAAAGGTAATGCATGTTGGTGTCAGACCAGAATCCAGCATTTCCTGAAATAGGAGAAGGGTCTTTTCATCAAACCCATTTTGTGCATAACCCACTATCATCGAATTCCAAGATACAACATTTTTAACAGGCATTTTTGAGAACACCTTCCATGAATCTTCTACCATTCCACACTTGGAGTACATGTCAACAAGTGCACTTCCTACAAAAATAGTGGTTTCCAAACCTGTCTTTATTACATTGGCATGCAACTGTTTTCCCTGTCCCGTAGCAGCCCAGTTGGCTAGTGCTTTAAGAACACTAGAGAAGGAGAACTCGTCTATTTTCTCTGAAAGCTTGTGCATTTTGCAGAAATATTCAACTGCCTTCTCTCCCTCACCATTTTGTGCAAAACCAGAGATAATTCCAGCCCAGGATATGGTGTTGGGCATAGTTATTGACTCAAAAGTCTCCACTGCACTGTCAATAAGGCCACACTTAGCATAGAAGTTCAACATTGAGTTCCCAACAGAGACATTCGACTCCAAGCCAAATTTGATTGAATGTGCATGAACTTGAGCACCTTCAATCAATGCAGCCAATAAAGAGCATGAGGAGAAAAGGCCTGTGAATGTAAATCTGTCTGGTCTCATGTTTTCTGAACGCAACTTAGCATAAGCTCTTAAGGCCTCCTCATATCTCCCAACCAAACTGTAACCTGTTATGAGGGCATTAAAGGATACAATATTCTTTTTCGTTTCCCCAAAAGCCTTCTCTGCATCTTCCATGTCAAAAAATTTTGAATACATATCCACAAGTGCAGTCCCCACATACACATACAATGAATTTCCAGACCTGAGGGTTTTAGCATGGAAGTATCTACCTGCAGCACTGTCTGGTATTGCAGCCGAAGCCTTCAGAACACAAGCAAAAGTTGTCTCATTTGGAAGGAAGCCTTTGAGTTGCATTTGATAGAATAATTCTATAGCCTCTTCACCACAATAATTTTGAGAATACCCAGTAATCATGGTATTCCAAGTCACAAGATCTCTTCTTTTCATCTGATCAAAAACACGGCGAGCCATTCCTAAATTACCACACTTGGAATACATATCAATTGTTGATCCACCAACAAAAATATCTGAATTCAAACCCAACTTAATGGAATTGGTATGCAAAGACTTCCCAATCTTAGTGTAGCCCAGACCAGCACATGCCTTAAAACTGCTAGCAAGTGTAAAATTATTCACCATTAATTTCCAATCAGTTCCATTCTTCAGCATCAAAGAAAATAAATCTAACGCTTCCAAGCTCAAGCCTTCCTGTGAGTATGCTGCAATCATAGCGTTCCACGAGACAGCATCCTTGTCGGGCATCTCATCGAATATCTGACGGGCTTGTTCAATATAACCACACTTGGAATACATGGTGATCAAGCCACTCGCAACAAAAAGTTGTCTAAAGAATCCTTTCTTTAAAATTAAACAGTGCAAGCTCGTCCCTGTATCAGCACAACTCAGCTCGCAGGAGACCCTAATTATGACAGAAAACGTAGTCTCATTGGGCTCCACAGCAGCTCTCCGCATTTGCAGAAAGTAAGATAGTGCCCGATCATTGAACCCCTTCTGTGCATTCATCGATATCATTGAGGTCCAGGAGAACACATTATTCCCATAATTGGCAAGCATTTCTCCATACGGGTGACGGGTTTGAGAAAACTGAACTGACTTGTGTATAGAGGTAACTCTTCTAGAAAAATTGAAACATTCTGGTGCACTCGTTGTAGGTAAACAAACTGAACTTGCTTTTTTTATTTGAATTACTATACTTCGGCACCGAAGCAGAATCCAGGATTTGTAATTCGAAGTAAAGGTTCGTTTCTCTAATAGATGTATTAGGATTCCCATCTGTTCTTCAGTGTTGCTTTTCTGGCATTGCTTAAGAAACTACTCACTCCCACTCCCACTGTTAATTGTTACAGTTGTTGGATTAAGCGTATTGGACAATTTAACCGGTGGGGCGATTTGGGGAGAACCAGAGATTGGTATCGGAGATTGAGAAGATTTGAGGGAAGGAGAAGGGAATTTGGTACATGAATGCAAACCTGCCTGCCCAGGGGAACATAAGCAACCTTCGGTGAAGAAGTGGTCTAAGTGAGTAGTGGGCGTTTTCTGTTGCTTTCTGTACTCTTTTAACGATTAAGACTTTGAGTGAAGCTCCGAGTTTCGATTCTTCTCTATGGCTCCATGCTTCCGTTCCTCTCCTGAAAAGAGCCTCCCGCTTCTTCTTGTTTTTTCGCTCCTTCCATTTCCACGAAGACGATCTTCAGACTTTCGGTCAGAGGGGAGAAAGGGCATTTAAGTAATTTAACTCGACGTTAAGGTGAATTTTAATTTTTAAATCAGGTTTGAAATAAAAAAACTACTAATTCATTTATGATTTTATCAGGGGTTTTGAATTCTTAATCTGTTGGGTTTGTCTTCCGCTTCGGGGAAAAGCAGAAACCTCGTGGGATTCAAAACCCTAAACGTTTGTAGCTCGTTCAAGAAGCAATGAAGGTATCTTGGTGATCTTTGTTGATTCATCTCTACCTGTATTCGAGTCAAGCCAAAATAATACATCCTTCAACAATATTCATTGTTGTTTAAAATTTCAGTTTCTCCGATGTATTGTTTTCTCGATTGTTGTTTCAGTTTGTTTTAACGCCCTGAGCTTGTGTTCCTACGTTTTTTGTGGTATCCGTTTAAATTGCTACAAGTTTGG